CACGTTCATGTGTATCTTGGCGTAGCTAATGCACCATCCTAGTAACATCACTAACGTGAAAAGCCCCAGAGTCAGTCCAAGTAGTCTTGGTATCATTATATGTGCAATCTCTTCGCTTAGCTTTTTTGCGTGAAAAATTGAAATGTGCCGCTGTTCGTGGCATCGTTCGTATGTGTTTTTTGTTGTGGAGACGGTTTCAGGATGATTTCTGTATTTCTGTCACGACTGGTCGTGCTCATTGCTGGTACGCTCTATCCTGCATATCGAAGCTATAAGGCTGTCAGGACAAAGGTCTCTCTCTCTTTTTTTTTTTTTGTTCAAAATTTATGCCTCTTTATTGAGGCAAAAAAGATCCACTACAGAGAGTTCGAGCTGATTCTGCCCGCCTTTACGTAGTTCTATTCCTCTTATTTTGATTTCTTTGATAGATTAGTTCTATCAGTGTGAAAGAAAAAATTTGTCACTCTTTGATTCGTTTCGATGGTAAATTGGTACTGGCATACAGCATGAAGACCAACTTGTGGGTGATGAGTTTGTTTCTAAATAACTCTCCGAAGAGGGAGTCATCGATGAGCCTGCCGATAAGCGGTTTCTGCTGGCACTTGCTGTCGTTTTGGACTGTTTGGAGTGCATTCTTTTTTTTATTAGTGAATGCATATGAAGAGATTTTCGATTTTTGTCTCTGCCATCAAACGAAATTTGGTTGCTAAAAGCATAGGATGCCACTGGTCACCTCCTTCCCTCTTATTCCCTTCTTCATCTCAATTTTCCGACTACTAAAGCACTGGTGTCAGTTCTTTTTTTTCAATTATAGCATAATAACCCTCACAAAACGAAAGAAAATTTCTGGTGATTGTTGGAAAGTACTAAGGCTCTTGAAACCCAACTTCAGCTGTAGGTCCTACTTCCGGCAGGAAACAAGAAGTAGAAAGCGTCCTTCGTGGGAGGAAGCCACCAGTGCATGGTTGTTGTCAGTTGAGCTACTTCCGAGTGCCTTCAGCTTTCACAGAGGAATATGGCGAACCTTATAGCTGCTGGAATTCCTTTTTTTCTCTTTCACATCTTTTTTCTGCTTTATCAGCACGTGCACCTGAGTTATTGAATTGCATGGTGGTACTGATGAACAGTGTTTTCCCCTGGCTTGTGATGTTTGTTTTGCAGGATGTGAGGGAATATGTGAAATGGATGATGTACTGGATTGTGTTCGCGCTTTTTTGTTTGGCCGAAACAATCTCCGACGTGTTCGTCTCGTTTTGGCTTCCATTCTATTATGAGCTAAAAATCGTGTTCGTGCTCTGGCTTCTCAGCCCATGGACCAAGGGAGCATCGATTTTGTACAGGAAGGTTAGCTAACGTTTTTTTGCGAAAATTTTTATTTTTGCCTTTCTACTACTAAAAGGCTGGCGTGCTCTAGGCTTTTAAACGTTTCATCGCTCCATCAAAACGCGAAAAGGTCAGCTGTACAACCAGCCCCTCTGCGATTCGTTCATTCATTCCAGTGATAAATTATCGGTTTATTTGCAAACCAACCGTCGAAATGGAGGGATATCGATAATTGTGTAATCGAGTTCTTAATACAATGGTGCCTGTCCACCTACTTCTGAATGTCTTTCTCCCCTTAGGGACAAAATTTTAATTGAGAAAGTCGGCCGACCTGTTTCCCGGGTTTTAGGCATTTCGCCATTATTGCTGCAAAAAAAAAAAAATCCCTTATCACTAATGCATTTCTGCGTATGCGGGTGTGCATCTTTTTGTCGCGGTGATTCAGCTTCAAAATTACAAGCCGAGAAAAGTAAACTTTAGGAAGCATGTTCTATGTATAGGTCCAGAAACATAAAATTAGCCTTGAGGTCATCCTACGTGTTGT